GCCAACCCTCAGGGGGAGCTGCTCAGGTTTCCAGGTTCTGAGGGGAGCAAATCTCCGGCCTCTTCTGGACCCCCAGCTCAAGCCCTACCCGATGGCCGGACACTGAAGGCAGCCAGGCCAGGAGGTGAGCCCCCCCCACCTCCCAGCTGCCCCTTTTCTGTCAATGGGAAAAGGGCATTAAGGACCCAGGTGCCTCCTGCAAGGCCACAGGTGCTCTGGCCACGAAGACCAGCCAAGGGGGCTGACAGGGACCCTCCCTTCGTGCCCCATGCCAGATCAACATCCCGCAGGACTCATCCTCTGGCCATACTGCAGACGCCCCCAGCAACAGGGAAGGAGGCAGGGACCCCAACCGGGAAACCCCATCACCTGCGAGGCAGTGTAGTCCTCGTAGAGGTTCTTCACGGGAACGTCGGACCCATTGACGGTGCAGTCGCTGTAGGGAGCACCCATCCTCTCCAGTTCATCCTAGGAAGGAAGGGAGGCCCAGAGAGGAGGCAACGGTGGCTTCTGGCTTCCTGGCACGGAGGGCCTTCCCCCCGACCCCCAAACTGGGCTCCCCTGTCCCTCTTCACATCTCTGGGGAGTGTGGGTCACACAGGGGTTGAAGTCCTCCGAACCCACCGCCAGATGGGGAAAGCAGCTCCCCTGAGGCAGGAGACCCCCCCGGATTCCCTTCCCACCTCTGGCTGGCTCCCACTTCTCTTCAGGCGGTCAGCTCAGAGCAGCCCACCTACCACCAGGACGCCGATGGAGGTCTCGGTCCCTGACATGGCGTAGATGCCCTGATCCTTCAGGAAAGGGAAGCTGCCCTGCTCATGCAGCATCAGCCGGGCTCCGGCCGTGGTGGTGAGGAAGGGGATGTAGTCCTTCTGGCTGATATCCAGGATCACCTTCAGCCCTGCAGAGGCAAAGCCCCACAGGGATCAGCCGGAGGCTGGGGGTCCTGGCAGAGAAATGGGGTGCGGAAACAGGGCACCAGCCTGTCTTCACTCTGTTTGTTG